GACAGGGCACCCTGGACTGGGAGGATTTCCAGCAGCGTGTAGATAACTTGTCGGTCTTCCTCGTGAAGAGGAGGGATGGCACCAGGATGTTTGTTCACCCCTCCTTCAGAGAGTGGCTGATCTGGAGAGAAGAAGGGGAAAAAACAAAATTCCTCTGCGACCCTAGGTGAGAAGGGGCAGGCAGACATGAGAAAAGAGACTCTCCCCGTCATGATTGCTGAAGATGATCGTAAGAAGGTTTAATAAAGTCATAATAAAACCGGATTTTGGGGAACATGTGAACAGGTTATTGGATTTTTGGGGAGAAAGCTGTGAAGAATTCACAGGCAGTATTCTCATTATATTTAAAATTGCATCTATAGTGTCACATAATCAGAATCTTTAAATGCAAACGTCTCTGTTCACACTTTATTTTCCTGCATTATAATTAAAACCGATTCCACCAACTCCACAGATAACAAAATGTTATGACCTGATGACTCAGTCTCAAGTATTGAAAGTGTTTTTCTGTCTCCGCAGGAGTGGGCACACCCTTCTGGCCTTCTGGTTCTCTCGGCTGGAGAACAAGCTGAACAGGCAGCAGACGATTGAGCTGGGCCATCACATCCTCAAAGCACATATCTTCAAGGTATACTGCTGTTTGTCCTCACACTCGTCTATAGATACACACATACACGCCCCCACGCAGCTGTGGTCTAGCTCTGCACTAATGAATATTTACACACTGTCTCTCTCTTTTCAAGGGTCTCAGCAAGAAAGTCGGAGTTTCCTCATCCATCTTGCAAGGCCTGTGGGTATCCTACAGCACAGAGGGTCTCTCAGCTGCTCTTTCTTCACTCCGAAACCTCTACACTCCAAACATCAAGGTACAGGTGCTAGCACGGCTGAGAGGAGAATATTCAAAAACACTCTGGATACTAAAAAAGGAAAACTTCTCTGACTATGCTTCATGAGATCTGCCTCTCTCTGGGCTGAGATGGTTTGAATACCCAAAGTCATAGTTTGCAGTGGTAGCTTTTCCTCATATTTCTTGATTTTTGTCTTTAACGCATTTGTTTAGGTGAGCCGGCTGCTGATGTTGGGCGGCGCCAATGTGAACTACCGTACAGAGGTGCTGAACAACGCCCCCATCCTCTGTGTCCACTCCCATTTGGGCTACATGGACATGGTGGCTTTGCTGCTCGAGTTCGGCGCTTCTGTTGACGCACAGTCTGAAAGCGGCCTCACGCCGCTGGGCTACGCTGCTGCTGGCGGGCACATGACAATTGTGACCGCACTCTGCCGCAGGAGAGCGAAGGTTTGTGAACGGAAATGGCAAGGGGGAAAACTGGCCTGATTTCCATGTAACGTGTTTTTGATCAAATCTATATCCTGCTACCAGGTGGACCACTTGGATAAGAATGGTCAGTGCGCGCTGGTTCACGCAGCCCTCAGGGGCCACATGGAGGTCGTGAAATATCTTATCCAGTGTGACTGGAGTATGGGGTCGCAGCAGCAGTCACCGCAGACTCAACAACAGTCGAGCTTCACCAAGAGTCACGCAGTCCAGCAGGCTCTTATCGCTGCAGCCAGCATGGGATACACAGAGGTACAGCAGGGACACATGAATGGGGACGAATTTGGGTTATTATGCCACATAAATGGTTCTTCAAATCTTAACGTGATGATTAAAACCTGGGTACTCAAGCCTAGTCACCTACAGACAGATTTAGACTTGCAATCAATGCATGATTTAGATTTCTGCAGGAAATCTACATCCTAACTCATGATGTAACTGAATGTAACCCTTCTGAACCCAATGCTGCAACCTTCCATGCCATTCAAGTTGTCGCGGACTGCATTGACCCGACATGTGGTTACATGTCTCGGTATGTGTACGCCAGGTTATGTGGAAAGTTGCGGTTAAAAGGGTTCGTTATGTTGGAAGTGTAGGTTTCAGTTCAATTCAATTCAATTTTATTTATATAGCGCCAAATCACAACAAAAGTCGCCTCAAGGCGTTTCCTGCATAAGTCTAAACCATGCATAAATCAGGGAAACAGAGGGAAAGGCTTAAAGCTGAGAATCGTACTTAAGGAAAACAGGAATCTCAAACTACACGTTTTTGTTATTTAACCTTTTTAATTAAGTACTTTATTTGTATTTATTTTTTTCATTTTTGAAAACAAGCCTTAACACATTTTTATTATTTTATTATCAGAGTGTCCTCCAGGACATTGTGAAATGTAATAATAAATATCTTTGAAACACTTTTAATAAGTTATACTTTAAACTTTTACTTGACAGTCAGTTGTTGACTATATACAGACACTGATCAAACTTTCAGCCTGCTGCATTAAATTATAATGCATATGGAACTTTGATGTTCTGGAGCCTAACTGGACCGTCTTAAATTTTAATTGAATACCACTGCTGTTCAGTTCCTTTGAGCTCATTGCTATTATTGACTATTTTCATTTTGTTGAGTCTCTGTATTAAGTTGTAATAAAAAAAAGTGACATAAAATGCTAGAAGTACTTGTTATTGCACCATTTTTGTGGCTTCGTGTACAACATTCACACCAATGGTGGTGGTAAATCAGATTTAGTAACCCTGTAAAAGAAGCAATAACTATAGAATTTCTCATTGAAGCTCGTTCTGCTGTGTAAGCCATCTGGTAAAGATGCTCTCTGTAGTCGTCACTTGTTGGGGGAAGAAAAGGAAGGTTACATTAACTTTTACAAATTTGAAGTCACTTAGAAATGCCACTATTTTTTAAAGTAAGGCTATTAGCATTATATTAATCAGAAATGTTGTAAATGGTGAACAATGCAGTCACTCATCGCTATTCATTCATTCATTTGCTTTTTGATACACTTGCCACAGATATACTTTTTCAAACATCACTCCTGCCTTCTGGTGACAAGTTTTTTGTTTGTTTTTCATCCCCATTGACAGTTTTATGGTGTTAAAATTCCAGCTGATCGTGTTAGCTCAGCTCAAAATCCAGATTTCAGAGTACAAGTTCAGTTTTTATAGGTTTGCTGTCCCCTTAGGAATAATTTTCTTCTGAGACTTTGTTTTCACACAACAGGATGTGCTACTCCCTTCCCAAACCACCACAAAGTTAATCAAGCTGCCAGCTGAGGCCTGTTAGGAGTTTATTTCTCAGATTGTGATGTTCCTATCCTCTTGCTCAGTTATGCAGCGATGTCTTCCACTTCTTTCTGTTTTGGGAGGGGAGTAGTACAGGCCGCTGTATGAGAACTGAAATGCGGTTCATTTCTGAGAACTTAATTAGATTCAGAATAAAGAGGCTTTTGGTCTTTTTACGAGGGACAAGAAAAGGATGCTCCGAATACTCAACTGTCCAAATGTGCCTATTTAATCAGCAGAACAGTTTTCATATTTAAAACGGGATAATTGGATAAACATACAATAGGTTACACAATGTGTCACTGAAACATGGGCGTGATGATTGCTGATAATTGGCCTATCTGGTATGTTTGTGTGTAACTACCAGCTGTTAATCACACGTACCTGCTGCAGGGTTTGGAGAGAAAGCACTTTGGACATTTTTAAATATATGAATTATATGAAGTTAAGCTGGATGGTAAATGTAATGCGATTCCTAATGTCAGCTCACTGTAATATAAATATATTCTGAAGTTGACTGGCAGAGATCTGGTTGTCAGCACTGTTGCTGATGTCTTGTGTACAATCCTGTCTCTCAGATCAGATTACAACAGATTTAAAGGGTAGTAGATTTCGCTCTGTAAGAGGAAACTTGGACATTAATCAGTGCCATCTTGAATCTTGTTCCCCATCAGATCGTGTCTTACCTGCTGGACCTGCCAGAGAAAGATGAAGAGGAGGTGGAGCGGGCTCAGATCAATAACTTTGACACCCTGTGGGGAGAGACAGGTGGGAATCCATACTGCAACTGAGCATTATGCATCTAAAACCACCAGTTGAGAATAACAGATGACTGTGAATGCTCATGTTAAATCCCCTGTGCAAATGCAAAGATGTATCATCGTTTTTCCCCCATAAAGTTCAGACTGATGGAGTTTCTGTGAGAGGCTTTTTCACTGCGAGGCAGAGCGCTGCAGTGCGGATGTGGGAGATGTTTCTTGTGTGTCTGCTGCTGGCTGCTGCTGCGTCAGACGCTGATGACAGTGCAGTGGTGTCATTGGAGCATAGACAGGGCTGGGCCCACACAGGGGAGAGGAGGGGGGCTTTGACTGAGCTCCAGGGTGCTTAGAAATGACTAGTCTGATTGCAGGATGTTGAGAAATGTAATGTATCATTATAACCTAGAGCTATAAAACCTCATTGCAATCTTTAGTGCCCCTGCTACAGTTTTGGAACGACTGTCTTCTCACTGTTGAAGAGGGGGAGTCATTCAGCTCTGCTTTCATTGTTTATAAGGGATCAAAAGGGTAACAGCTGTTCTGGCACATGATTTCCAATCCCAGTGTTACTAGATAGGTCAAGTGGCAGTATGTTAACAGCCTGAGGGAGACTATGCATATTGACACTTACAGTTTATGATATACCTTAATGTTTCTCCAGCAAAGAATAAGTAGGTTGAAGCTGGGCTCACACTACCAGGTCTGCTGCCGCTCTGATTCAGTCTGCTGAAGTGATTTCAATTACATCTCTCCTCTCCTCATCACTTAAAGTACCTGCGTCTTATGTATATTAAAGCAATAATCAAGTCAGTATGTGTAAGTGTAATCTCTATGTACCTAAAGCTCGAGCTTCATACTGGTCTAAACTCTCTTTCTCACAGAGAGAGGATATCCTTAATATGGTCATCGGGTTCAGCAGTCTCTCAAGTCTGTTATTCAAATTAGAATAAAGTGAAAGGGAAAGGCGTTCAAATGGCTTATTTCAGACAGAGGATGAATTAGGGGCTCAAGCCCCAGCATGAGATTAATAAGGATTCTTTTGACTTACTAAAAAACGAAGATATGCAATTATGCAAAAAAGTATGGAGTTGGAAATGAGCAGATGATAATATGCTAATTTTGTGCTCCTAACTAGCCATAACATCACACGGTTGCGTATTTGTGCATTCAGCTCTAACTGCAGCCTCTGGTCGTGGGAAGCTGGAGGTTTGCCGTCTGTTACTGGAGCAGGGTGCAGCTGTGGCTCAGCCCAACAGGCGAGGCATCGTCCCACTGTTCAGCGCCGTCCGGCAGGGACACTGGCAGGTCAGTGGCCACCTGATCCTCTTTGCTAAATGAATATATTTTGCTTTGAAAACTTGCATGAAAATGAAAATGAAAAAATTTGGATGCATCTCATTAGGCTTTGGGAAAATCTTAATTTTCCCTGCTGTTGCCTAGTCTAACTGTCAGAGTAATAGTTTTAAAAATGAATTTCTAGCTGCAGTTTTCGTGTTAACTTATATCTTTGATGTTGCATTGGGTGTTGCAGATTGTGGACCTTTTACTTACACATGGAGCAGATGTGAACCTGGCTGACAAGCAGGGTCGTACGCCTCTGATGATGGCTGCCTCAGAAGGACACCTGGGAACTGTTGAGTTTTTACTAGCTCAAGGTGAATAAAGAAAAGAACTTGAAAGCAAATTGAAACTCAGTCAGGTCAATGTATTTAGCTAAAAAAATACTTCTGTCACAGCAGGAAACCGATACAACATTGTAAACACATAAATGTGTTGTTGGGAAGTGTTTGTGCACATCTCTCAACAGATCTTCTGAACTCAAATAGCAAAGGGAAGAAATATGTGTCGGTATTTGGCTGATGGTCATGCTAGCACTACTAAATGTTTCTGTATTTGGACTGGGTGCAAACACAAAGTTGTATATCAAAGTCAGACATGATGGATGGCAGGAGAATCAGATTTGACAGGTCAGAGGAGCCAGCGAAGGATAAAAGAAAATCCCCTTAAAATGGAAAAGATTTAAAGCAAATATATTTGCCTCAAACCGATTTGAGATTACAACACAAGAATACTGACTGCACTAATAAAACTGAACCTAATTACGTTTTTCAAATTATGTTTACTGTAATTGGATCCAAATGAAATCAACGGCAAATTTACAAAATCAATCAAAAGTAATACAGCAGTTAGTTATTAAAAAAACAGAGACACACAAATACAAACCAGCCAACCACAGATGGAGTTTACTCTGAGATGGAGTACAAAAATACGCTTGGCTGCGTCTCACTGCTCCTGCTACTGTTTCCTGTCCCAGGAGCCTCCCTGTCATTGATGGATAAGGAGGGTCTAACTGCTCTGAGCTGGGCGTGTCTGAAAGGCCATTTACCTGTTGTCCGCTGCCTGGTGGAGAGCGGAGCCGCCACTGACCACGCGGACAAGAACGGACGCACGCCCCTCGACCTGGCTGCCTTCTACGGCGACTCTGAAGTGGTATGTAGCTAATGTGGAACCAAAGGGATGCATATACGACACCCATATGTAGCTCGTGTGTGTCTGATCAGGTTTTTATATTGATGACATTGATTTAGCAAATTTGTAACTAGCTTAGCTATTTCTACGGTAAGCTATAGAGTAGTATGATTTCTTTTTTATAGACAGAGGTGTCAAACATAAGGCTCAGGGCCCAGAATCGGCCTGGCAAAGACTCTAATCCGGCCCCACTGGGCATATTTCAAACATTTTAAGGAAAGCACCAAATTTTGACTTTTAAGTATATTTTCACAAGTTCTACAACATTAGCTTTACTGATAAAGACCTCCCAAATGGTCATACATAATAATAATAATAATAACTATCAGAAATTTGACCTACAGTAACTCGTCTTGCTGGATCAGACAACACCAGCCTTCGCTCCTCACGTGCATCAGAGACTCCTTGGCCAACCATGGCCCCTGTTGCTGGTTCATCACTGTTCCTTTGTTGGCGTAATGTACAAGCGAGGCTTTGGAATCCTGGATGATATGTCTCTCTGTCCTTCTCTTTTTCGCTCATTCACTCCATTTTCTTTGTCTCGCCAGGTCCAGTTCTTGGTGGACCATGGGGCCATGATAGAGCACGTAGACTACAGCGGGATGCGTCCTCTGGACAGAGCAGTGGGCTGCAGAAACACGTCCGTGGTAGTCGCCCTGCTAAAGAAAGGAGCCAAGATAGGTAAGAGCAAGTTGACAGAATTAAAGAACCTATTATTTAGCAAACAGACGAGGGACTCTTAAGTGCAGCACCTTTGATCTATAGCACCACATAACAGCATTATTTGCCTGCTGTGAAATAAGATACAATTGGAGATTGTATTTTGGCTGAAAAAGTCATGCATCGGCGTTTAAGCATGAGCTGCATGAAAGACTATAAAAGGAGAATTCAGAAGATGATTAGGTACACACTTCCTGCTGGTCATTATAGAGCACTGTAGTACTCCAGTGTAATAAGCCATGGATTCAGGTTTGTGTCTCCATGTAGCATAAACAACTTCCTGCTACTGTACGCCATCCCACCCCCCTGGTGCTGCTTCTCCACAGCTATTTATGGCTCTGATGTGTGTTTCTTTTTATTGTACTACTGTTGTGTTGTTTTGCTTTCTCTCTCTCTCTCTGTCATGTTCTCTCAGCGCCTCTGTTTGTCTCTATCGCTCACGCTATCTCCCTGTTTCTCTCACAATCACGTCCTCTCTCTCGATTCCTCTGCGGTTGCTCAGAGACAGGTTGTTATTAGCGCTTGCGGTGGTTTCTTTTTGTTTTTTTAATTTTGTATTTTTTTTGCTGAGGCACTTATCTCCGCTTCTCACTGCTGCTTGTATTCCTTTTCTCACTTCTCTTCCTCCTCCACCATCATCACCTCTCTTCTCTTTCACCCTCCTGCTGTTTCTATCTCTTTCTTTCCTCTCATTCCTACGCACTCCCACACCCCTGTTTCCCTGCAATCCTGCCCTCCCCTTCCTACTTACACTCCATCCCTTGCTCATGACCTCCCCTCCTCTTCCCCTCTTACTCCTATCCCCCCGCCTCTCTCTCCGGCCCCAGGATGTCAGACGCTGCCCAGTCGGCCCCGAGGTAAAGCCAAGGCTGTCGACTTCTCACCCTACCAGGCATTTTGACAGCTCTATCTCCTCTCTCTGTGTTGTCTGTGTCGTCCTAAGTGTCGGCAGGCGAGCTTAGCTACCAAAAACCTTCCCAAACTGACAAATAATAACATGCAAAGGTATTAGCACTGACAGAGACGCATTCGGGATTGCCTAGAGGTAGATGCTAATGTTGAAGTGGTTAATGACAGCATGCCCAGCCTCCAGCCTGTGACGTCGTATCAAGGTGTTGACCCTCCATCCCACAGATGCATGACGGAAGCCCACAGTAACACTTGCGTGGTCGTGATTTAGCGGAACTGCATGTATTTGTAATACCTCTGTGCCACCGCCACCACAGACTGCAGTGATAAACCATCCTCCAGACGTTTTGTCAGTGTCAGCTAGGCCAGGCAGCAGCATTCCCACCCTCACCACCAGTTCAGGGGACAGCTCACGCCTGCAGAGCCCCGTTTTATCCCACCTGCTTGCCTCTTTTGTTTTTCCCGTAACTGCCCCTGTGTCTCCTTGTGCTAAATCCTCCTCCTTTTCATCTCTGTGGTGTGTGCACATGTGTCAAGGATTGCTGTTGCGCAGATACAACAAAGACCGTCTCAGTCAAGGGATTGTGTTTGATTTCTCAATCATTTTTTCCCCCCTGTTAGTTTTTTTCCCTGTTTGATTTTCTTGCTTTTTAATCACGTCTGTGAATTACTGTACATCTGCACTTCTTGACAAGACAGAAACTGTGTCTTAGTAGAAAGTCATGACAGTATGCTTTGATTTAATTTCTCTGTACTACACATCTACACTAGGTTGCCTGGGCCAAAACATATTTGCAGATATTTCATAACTAATTTTTAAAAAACAAACAAAATAAAAAGCCACTTTTCACAACAATGACAATGCTAATTTTTGTACGACAAATAAGCACTTTTAAAAAATTATTGGCAAATAGCATTTGACCCAGGCATGATGTCACAATGGTGACAGTGCTCTCGAGGTGTCAGGATAGTTTTTTATTTATTTTTTTGTAATCTTTCCTCTGCAGTGGATTGCCTGTCTTTTCTCTTCCATTCCTCCATTTTGACTGTTGTCCTCATTCCTGTTATTATTGTTGTGTGTACTGTGACTCCCAGTCGCTCCTCTCCTCTTTCTCCTCCTGCTCCTTCTCTCTGCTTATTACTGCGTGTCTTTCTTTCATCTGCTCCCCCCTTTGTCACACAGGTCCAGCCACGTGGGCTATGGCCACCTCCAAACCCGACATCATGATCATCTTACTCAGCAAACTCATCGAGGAAGGAGACAGTTTTTACAAGGTCAGAGAACAGGCTGTGCGCTCAGCAGCTCAGATTTCATACTGTGAATGAAAGATGGGTGATGGATATCCTTTATATGCAAGTTTA